AGCCGCCGCGTTAGGCCGCTATGCAATCTCGCGTAGGGCCCGCTCTTGATCGTGGAAAAACCGAGCGTGCCGCGCTCGCGTCCCGCGTAAGCTGTGGCGCAAGGCCGCTGTGCCATCTCGCGTGAGGCCCGCTTTTGAGAGCCGCTCGTGTGGTCGCCCAGCTTCCCCGAGCTGTTCCGGGGCCCCTGCCATCGAGGCGGGGCCCAGAGATCCGGGGTTCCCAGTCCCAGCTCTCGTTGGCCATGCCGCGGAGAACCCACGAGCTGGCCTGGCAGGGCCGTCCTGCCGCACCGCCCGAGCGGCAACGGCCAGGCCGCCCGGCGCAGCGAGAGAGGGTCGGGGGGACGATCGGCACCGCCATCGGCTCGCGAGGCTCTGGCCGGAGACTCCGGACCCTCTGGCGCCAACCTGATCGGACAAGAACGCAGAGCGCCGCGTTTGTCCGTTAGGCTCGAACGTAAACCACCAAAAAGAAGTGGGCGACGACAAGGCGGCCGATGACGAGGATGACGGCGCGGATGACGGGGAGGGTGGCGAAGCTCTGGCCGGAGAGTCTGGACCTTCTGGCGCCAATCCGCCGGTGCCCGTGGTGCCGCACAGTCACCAGGCATTCGAATGCAACTTTCGACCTCTTGACTTGTGCCCTGGCAAATGTTGAGCTTGTCTGGACGAGGCGTGCCGAAAGTAAACTGAAGCCCAACTCCACAAGAACGGCCCCTCGGTGTACCAGCTTTTGACGACAAGAGGGGGGGGGGGGGCCTGTGCTGGGCGCGGGCGGCAAACAATAAAACGCAAACTAGAAAACGGACAACGGAAAACGGAAACCGGAAAACGGAAAACGGAACCCGGAAACCGGAAAGCGAAAAACGTCAGCATGATTCAATGCACCTGTAGCTATTCCCGAACTTCATTTTGACTAGAAATTCGTCCTCTGTATGGAAATTCATGGTTTTGATCAGAAATTCAATGTATAAACGATTAATTCGCATTTTTGCATTTTAATTGATGAATTCATAATTTTGAATGATTATTTACAGACAAAAAATCGCGGTTGTTTACGCACAAATAACCGGCACGTGCAAATTCCATGGCCCCCAAGATGGCCCCCAAGATGGCCCCGACAGGCCCCCATGGGGCCCCCAAGAAGACCCAGGCGGCTCCCGTGAGGTCTCCGAAAGGCTTCCAGGAGGCCTCCAAGAGGCCCCCAAGACCCCAAGAGGCATCAGGAGGATCCCCGCGGCACCCAAGACTCTCAAAAACACCACTGGGCCTGCCAAGAGGCCCCCCAGACGCCCCAACAGGCATGCAAAAAGCGTCTAGGAGCCATCCGAGGATACTACGATAGGCATTGAAGATGCCTCTGGCTATTCTGCTCGCCCTGTTCCTCCTCCTCGTCCTCCTCCTTCGTGTCCTCCTCCTTCTCCTCGTGCTCCTCCTCCTCCTGCTTTCTCTTCTTCCTCCGATTCCTCCTCCTCCTCCTCCTCCTCCTCCTTTTCCTCCTCCTCCTCCTCCTCCTCCGTGCTCTCCCTTTTTCCCTCTCCCCCCCCCTCCTCCTCCTCCTCCTCCTCCTCCTCCTCCTGCTCCTACTCCTACTCCTACTCCTTCTCCTACTCATCATCATTCTCCCCGCCCCCTCGCGCATCCATCAATCCAGCCTCCTCCTCCTCCTCATCGTACTTCCTTGGCTCGGTTCAGCTGTCGCCCTCTTTATTCCCGCACTTCCCTAGACACCTCAACTCGCCTGGGCGTCGTTTCTGGATGGGCTGGCGCCGATGCGCGAAACGTCAACAATTTGTTCTCTGACAGTCGCCACGCTAATCCAAGGTTGCGAGCGGGCCCCCCTTCGGGAGCTCTCGGCGCAGGCTTCGAACCGTTCTGAGTGCCTCGTGGGCCGCCGGGCCGTTCTGGAGCTCTCTGGAAGTCTTGGCACTTCCGTGCTGTTTTGGGAAGCCTTTCAAGGCGTTTCGGGGGCAGTCTGGGGGCCCCGTCGGGCCGCCGTAAAGATTTCTTGGGGCGCACGGGGCCAACTCATCGGAGTGCCGTGCGAGGCCGTCGCGAGTCTCTCTTGGGCCGCTCTGGGCACGGTGAGAAGGGCGATGGCGCTTTTCCTCGGAGCCTCTGCAGGGCGTCAAGAAGCCCAAGCCGAAGCGGCCAAGTCCAGCCCTAGATCAAGGTTTCCCCTCCAGGGCGCCGCAAGGAGCAGCGTCTGCAAGAGAACCAACAGCATCGGCGCGCATGTGCAGCGCCCTGCCAACGAGCGCCACACCTCGACGCTGCCTTCCCCGTCTGCGGGAATCCCGGCGGCGGCAGCCAGTTCGCGGCCGATCAGCACGCGGCCCGCTCGGCCGCCTGGAAGAGGTCAAGGCAAACAACAGGGGCACAGGAGCACGGGCGCACAGGGGACCAGGGAGAGAGAGAGAGAGAGAGAGAGAGAGAGAGAGAGAGAGAGAGAGAGAGAGAGAGAGAGAGAGAGAGAAAGCGAGAGAGAACACAAAAAAAAACAGAGAGAGAGAAGAGAGAGAGGAGATATGAGGAGAGAGAAGAGGAGAGAGAGAGAGAGAGAGAGAGAGAGAAGAAAGAAAGAAAGAGATAAAGAAGGAGAAGAGAAGAGAGAGAGAGAGAGAGCGAGAGAGAGAGAGATAGAGAAAGAGAGATAGAGAAGAGAGAGAGAGAGAGAGAGAGGGAAGAAGAAAGAAGAGAGAGAGAGAGAAGAGGAAGAGAGAGAGAGAGAGAGAGAGGCTGAGAGAGAAGGAGAGAGAGAGAGAGAGAGAGAAAATAGATCAGAGAGAGAGAGAGGGGGGGAAAAAGGAGAGAAAGAGAGAAAGAGAAAGAGAGAGAGAGAGAGAGAGAGAGAGAGAGAGAAAGCGAAGGAAAGAGAAAGAGAGAGAGAGAGAGAGAGAGAGAGAGAGAGAGAGAGAGAGAGAAAGCCCAGGATAGAGAATGCCGTGAAGGGTCGGTTTGCCCTGGCGGCCTGAACCAGAGAACCAGAAATCCGAATTGCCCCGCAATGGGCCCGCCAGCAGCGCCCCTGGCGGCAGCGGCTGCCTGGCGCCCAGGCCCGCGGACAGGTCCACGACGAACCCGTGGCCCCTGCACTCCGCCGATGCAAGAGCGAGCAAGATCTTCTTCTTGTCGTCCAGGACGCGGAACCATCGGCTCTCGCCGAAAAGAGCGTCGGCCGCGGCCACGGTCGGCATCTTCACCTGGTTCCGCAAGCAATACTCGAGAATGCCCTTCTGCCAACCCACTGGCAGGGCGCGCGTTTGAACCGCCTCCCGCTGCAGAATGGCATCGTCGATGTAGTCCGACCACACCGTCGCCGAAGCCTCCGCAAAAGCCTTGAAGGGAGGGCCGCGGATCTGCCGTGCCTCGACGCTCTCTGCGAACACGCGGAAGAACTCAGTCCCCGACTCCATGTTCAACAGGGCGCCCCCGCGCGCCGCCAACAGCCACCTGCTGCACTTGCTGAAAGGCGCGCCGTAGTCCGCCGAGTCCACGACGAAGGTCAGACACTGCCACTCGTCGGTTTCCTGCAATTCGTCGTGCGGGATGCTCTCCCCCGGCCCGCCCGTGCTCTCCACGAGAACGAGCTCGCTGTTCTGCGCCGCATACTGCAGGAGAATGCTGGCCGCGCTGGCGCCGCTGGCCCCCGGGCGCCTGAACGAACAGCTCCCCAAGAGCAAGGCTGGGCCCCCCCTGGCGCGCGCAGCAGCACCTCTGGGGAGGCCGCCGATGCCCCGGATTCCGTCGTCCACGCTCCGCCCAGATCCGCCTAACGGCGCGCACCACCTCGCGAACACTTCAGCGCGCTGATTCGCCATGGTGCTCTTAGCCGCGTCCGTGCGGCAGTGGGCAGCGATGCGAAAACCCTCCGACAAGAGACCGTGCTTCTGGAACACCCTCTGCAATTCCGTGAGCACGGGCGCCGCGACGAGCATTCCGTCGCCAAACGCCGCCACCGAGAGCGCCTGGGGCATCGATTCCGTGACGTACGCGGCGTGCTCTTTGAGGACGGGGGTCCACCCACTCCCCGAAGAATCGCAGCGCATGTCCACTAGCAACCGCGGCTGCATCGATCGCCTTCGGGGCTGGCCAAGCTGGCAACCAGTCATCTCCGATGACCTCGGGGTCTTCCTCGCGCGGCTGCTCCTCCTCTCCGAGCTCGCCGCCGTCGCCGCCGCTCTCCTCGGCAAGCTGGCGCAGGTCGTCAGCCTCCGCCTCCACGTCCGCGGCCGCCGCGTCGGCCTCTACTTCCGACGACGCCTTGCCGCGCTCCTCGCTCACTGCCCGACCCTCTCGGTCGCCGCCGCCAGCGGCGCCCTCGCGACGCTCGGGGTCTGCCGAGGCGTCGTCTTCGGCGCGCCCAGCAGCGCCAGCTTCCGGCAAACCTTCCAGCGGCCCTCGAGCTTCCTCCTCGCCCGCTGTCACAGCCGCCTCCGCGGCTTCCCTGGCACTCGAAGCGGCCGCCGGCCGCCGAAGAGCGGAGGCCGCGGCCGCCCTCTTACCCGCACTCGAGGCCGGCGCCTCGGCCGGCCTCATCTCGGCCCCGCTGGCGATGGACGACGGCGCCTGCCTGGATAGGCGCGCTCGGAGCGGCGACGAGCCTTCTACAGTGCTGGCCCGCGCCGCCGCAGGCGCCGCGAAGTTGTCGAGGTCGAGGCGCCCCCAGCGGCTCCCATCCGGGAGCTTCGGCAGTTTTTTCGGGGCCATCAGCCGCGCCGAAGCGGGCCGCGCGCCGAGGCGGCCTGGCCGCGCGGGCCCACTGCGCCGCGCGCCTTGAGCCAGAAAACTCTGGAGGGCAGCCTACTGACCCCATCGGGGCCCTCTCGAGGCCCCCCCGCGGTTCCCAAGGCACATGTCCACGGACCAAACAAAAGCCTGCCCGGTTGTCTCACTGCCCGCCCTCCGCAAGGAGTGAACCAGATAATGAATATTATGGCCCTGGTCTTTCTCGCCCCTTCCTCCCCCCGCCCCCCTCTCTTCCTCCTCCCTTCCTTCTCCCTTCCTCCTCCCAGTATCCCCTCTCCCCCTCCCGCCCTCCTCTCTTCCTCCTCCCCTCTTCCCCCCTCCCTCCCCCCTTTCTCCTTTATTCCTCCTCCCTTCCTCCTTCCTTACTCCTCTGTACCTCCCCCCTTACTCCTCTATTCCTCCTCCCTTCCCCCCCTCCTTCCACCCTCTTCCCCTCTTCCTCCCCTTCCGTGCTTCGGGCCGATCGGGGATTCGACTTTTCTGTTCCGTGGATGGGAACATGATCTACCTTTGTAGGCTCTGTTTACCTGTTGCAGGAGCGTGCCTATTGCTCCCATTAGGTCTCGTGCGCCTTTGCTGCTGCTGCTGCTGCCGTTGCTGCTGCCACACCAGGGGCCCAGGAGCGCCAGGCGAGCGAGCTAATCCGAGTCAAGGGGCGGCAACTGGCCCGCCGCGCAGGCAAGTGGCAGCAGCAGCAGCATCAGCAGTAGATCTGCCAACGGCCGAACCCCTGGCATCTGTAAAATGGTCGTCGTCCTCCTCCTCCTCCTCCTCCTCCTCCTCCTCCTCCTCCTCCTCCTCCTCTTCCCTCCCCCCATCCTCCTACCCACCCATCCTCTTCCTCCTACAGAGCGAGGGGGGGGAGGGAGAGCAGCAACAAGAGCAGCAGCAACAACCAGAACCTTCGGCGGACAGGAACCGCTCTTGCTCTTACAGGGCGCGCCCTCGGCGCGCGAAGACTGGCTTGAAATGCTGGCAACTGGCAGCAGCAGGAGCAGCATCCGCAGTTGATCTGCCTACGGCCGACCCCCTGGCAGGTATGCGATGGCCCTCCTCCTCCTCCTCCTCCTCTTCCCCCTCCCCTTCTCCCCTCTTTTCCTCCTCCTCATCCACGGATCCCGATTCGCCTGCCTGGGGCGGCATCGGCGCAAGTTTCAAGTCTGTTGCGTCCTCGTGGACGCGCCCAGAGTACGGCAAAACCCTCCTGCGTCTCCTGCTCCTCCTCCGCCTTGCTTCCCCCCCCATCCGTCCTCATTTTTTTGCAGAGCGAGTGTCAGACTCCCCTCGACTAAGCACATCGCTCGCATTGTCCGTAGCAAACTTCCGAAGCTGGAAAAGCAAGGCCTGTGGGCAACCCCCGTGAGAGACCGCCACGGGCTGTCACTGCGCCATTCCCCTGAAATCTAAACCGAGCGTCAGCCCGCAACTCGCAGTGCATATCTCGCGCGCTGGACCTCCCCCCGCCGCCTCGCTCTATCTCCTGCGCCCCCCGGCCTCCCGCGCCCCTCTCGTCTCAGCGAGGCGGCCCCTGGGCGCCGGCCGCTCGACTGGAGAGCGCGCCAGGCGCCCCCGCCGCAAAGAAAAACACCACCGTGCCCCCGGACTCCTGCAGCGCGCACCTACGCGGCCTTGCGCGCGGACTTGCACGCAGGGGCGCCGCCAATGCTGGCTCTCTTCGCCGCCAGAACCGCTGGGGAATGCGGCGTCGCCTTTGGAAACGACGCCGCGTCGCCCACCCTGGCCCTCTCGGCGGCCCCGGGCGCAGCCCGGGCGCACCCTTTCTGGTCAGTGCCGCCGGCCCCGCTCCCAGGCGCGCTGTCTGCTGCACCGCTGGCGCCCTCCGCCTCGCTCTCCCCGCTCACTGCGCGGCCGGCGAGGATCGCCTTCCCCGCGTTCAGAAGGATCTCGGGGATCAGGCGGCCCTCGAGCGCGGGGAACTCCCCCTTCGTCTTGTCAGGCTCCTCTGCGACGCTGATGAGGTTCTTCATGGCATCGCGGACCTTCTGCTTCTGCTGGGTCAGAATCCTCGACTGGCCTTTCGCCTCCCAAATCGACGACGTCACGTTCGCGCACCAGGCGACCAGGAAGAGCCGCCGTCGCAACTGTGACGTCATGGAGTCCACCTGCGACTCAAGACGGGGGTCGCGGTACACCTCCTTTATGAGAGAGAAGCCACCGATCACCTGGAGCGAACGCGGGGTGGCGAGGAGGAGCCGCGGCGGAATGTACTGGGAACGAGGGGAGCTCGGTGGGATGAGACAGCGGGGGACTGGAGAAGGAACACGAGGAGCTGGGGAAGACGGCGAACAAGGATCTGCGCACCTTGTTGACAGCATCAACCATCTTCCCACCCTTGCCGCCGAAGGTCTCCGGCATGTCCACGGTGCCACCGACAACCTTTAAGAACTCGGCCGCTTCCTGCAGCGTCTCGGGGATGGGGCTCCTCTCAAGAAGCTCCTTCGCGGCGCGCACGGCTGGCTCGGCGTCGAACCGCTTGACGGGGCGTTCAGCCCGCTCCTGCGCGACTTTCTCCAGCCATGGCACGGCCTGCGCGTGCAGCTCCTTGCTGGCCCCCACTGCTGCCTCCACATCTTCCAGAGAAGCGTCGAAAGTCTTCGCGATGACCGTCTGGAAGGCGCGCTCCGGCTGCACCATGCCCCCGAGCTGGCGCACGGCGTCGCTCGCGTTCTCCCACAGCTCCAGGTTCAGCTCGCCCCCGGCCTGCTCGGCAAGCTCCTTGGCGTCGGCGACGGCCGCGACGCTGCACAGCCACATGTCCGCTTCCTTCCAGGTGTCCTCGGGCGGCTCCGCGCTCAGCAGCTTGGAGATATTCAAGAAGGCCTGAAATTCCTTCCGTTGCCACGCCGCCGAGTCCACGCGCTTCAGAGACTGTTCTGCTGCACCCTTGGCTCTGGCCAGAACGCTGCGGCCCAAGGCCCTGCGCGCGCGCGCCGCCGTGCCCAGCGCGAGGGAGAACAGCGACTGCAGCCCCTCTACGTTGTCTTCCGCAGACACTGTCACGCCAGAGACCTTCAACACCGCCTCGGGGCTCTCCTTCAAGAGGTCGCACAACCGATTGGCTGTCTTCACTGGCTGCTTCATCCCAGGTACGTCGAGACGGCTGTACGCGGCGATGTCGGCGATCTACTTCAATGCCCCGAAGGCGGTCTCGTGGGGGCCCTTGATGCCATCAGGCGCCCACTCCTCGACGGTCGACCAGCCGTGCTCCAACTCCAGCCGCTCGACGCACGCGGCAGTCAGGAGCTCCTCTGGAGAACGCGTTTCGGCGCCCAAGCTACATTGAGAAGGCGCGCTGCTGCAGCACCTCTGGCACAAGGTGTTCTCCTCATCATCCTCCTCCCTCCTCCGCCTCCACTTCCTCCTGATCGTTCTGGCGGTCCGGGGCCCGGGGGTGGTTCGTCTGTCTGTGTCCTGTTTCTCGCTATCGGACAAGGAATCTTTCCTCAGGCCTGCTGCGGCTCGCCCCACCTCCTCGCGGGGCGAGCGCAAGAGCAACCCGAGGACCACGTCCTCGAACGCCGTGCCTCGACAGGAGGCAAACACAAGCAACGGCGAGGTCAAACATCCCATGCTCAAGTAGGAGAAAATAAGGCGCGCCGCAGCAGCACCGGCCAAACTAAAACCAATGGCGGATCGGAAACCCTCGAACCTCATCGAACGGACTCGCGATCTTGCGGAGGCCCGCCCGCGGCCTTCCCTGGCGAGTTGGTGCCGGTCGGCCTCCTGCAGCGCGCCCGCCTTGGACACGGCCTCCTTCTGCTTCTTGCAGGCGCGCGACACCTCCTCGGTCCAATTCTGCCACTGCTCCCCGGCGGCATGGCCCGTCACCTGCGCGAAGAGCTCCCGGGCTGCCTGGGCGCACTGGAGAGCAGCCTCCTCGTGGGACCGCTTCTTCATGGCCGACTCCGCCCAACCAACGAGGACTTTGCCGCCCGGGCTCGTGTTCAAAGCGACGCCCAAGGCCCCCTCCCGCTGCGGGAGCGCCTCCAGCGCCTCCTCCACCTCAGTCAGCGGGGCAGTGCTCGCGCGCGACACTGCCCAGAGAACTTGGATTTGACCCTTCAGCTCCTCCTCCCACACTGGCCGCGCAGGGTCGGCGGGGGCCCGCTGGAGAGCATCCCGCGCGGCGCCAGCGAAGGCAACCACGGCAGCAAACGATCCGCCTCCCTTCTTGGCGTCCGACTTCGCGACGGCCGAAATCAAGCCCGTGCCGACTCGCTCGAGGGTCGTCGTCGCGAGATCTGCCGAGGGCGCGCCATCTGCAGCGCCGCTTTCCAACAGGGACATCAGCTGTAACCAATCGCAGCGCTTGATGGCCTCGTCTGCCTTCCAGCTCCTGAACCGCATGTGGTGCGCCACGCCGAACGCGATGTCCTCCGCCGCGGCGATCTCGGTGTCTTTCAGGAGAGTCTCGGTGTTCCCTGGCTTCTCGCTCACAGCAGCCTGCGGACTCCTCCGCCTCCTCTGGTCCCCCATCGCTCAATCTTCTTCCTCCTCCTCTTCCGCCGCCTCCTTTGAACTGGGCCGGGGGCCTCCAAGCCCCCGTTCACAAAGAGGAATGAACAACTGAATGCGTACTGTAGCCCCCTCCTCCCTTCCTCCCCCATTCCTCCTCCCTTCCTCCTCCCTTCCGTGTCCCTTCCTCCTCCCTTTCTCCTGCCTTCCGCCTTCCTTCCTCCTGCCCCCCCTCCTGCCTTCCCCCTCCCTTCCTCCCTCTCCCCCTATCGTCCTTCTCCTTTCCTCCTCCCTTCCTCCATCGACGACGACGACGACGACCACGAACGCGACCACGACCGCGACCACTCCGCCTTGACGACCCGCACTGCCGCGGCCAGCGCCTCCTCTGAGCGCGCCAGCCACGCCTTGTTGATCTGCAGCGCCTGCGCGCCGTCAACCGGGATCTTCCCCATCTTGGCCGCTGCCTTCTTGGCCGTGTGGATGGCGCTCTCTGCGGCTGCCGCCTGCTCAACCAAAAGATAAAAAAAAAAAAAAAAAAATAAAAAAAAAAAAAAAAAAAGAAAAAAAAAAAAAAAAAAAAAAGAAAAAAAAAAAAACAAAAAAAAAAAAAAAAAATAAAAAAAACAAAAAAAAGAAAAAAAAAAAAACAATAAAAAAAAAAAAAAAAAAAAAAAAAAAAAAAAAGAAAAAAAAAAAAAACAAATAAACAAAAAAATAAAAAAAAAAAAAAAACAAAAAAAAAATAAAAAAAAAAAAAAAAAAAAAAAAAAAAAAGAAAAAAAAAAAAATAAAAAAAAAAAAAAAAAAAAAAAAAAAAACAAAACAAAAAAGAAAAAAAAAAACCAAAAACAAAAAAAAAACAAACAGAAAAAAAAAAAAAAAAAAAAAAAAAAAAAACAAAAAAAAAAAAAGAAAAGCCGTGGCCTTGAAGTGGGCTCTCCCCTCCTTCGTGGACAGGTCCACATCTCCGCTGAAGTCGAGCAATTTGTAACACTCCCGGAACGTGTTGAAGAGCGTGTCGGCCTCGCCCTTGAGTTTCCTGCCGGCCGCTGTGAGGCTGAATTCGAGGGCCTTCCGCCCCCTCTTCTTCGACGCGGAGCCGTCCTCGAGAGGTGCTGGCTCGTCCGGCTGCCCGCCGCCCTCGTCGGAGTCGTCGGGCGGCTGGGCGAGCAGGGGCGCGGCCCACGAACCGCCGCTGCCACGCTTCTTCCCTGGCTGGCTCCGGCCCGAGCGCTGCGGGGTCGCCAAGGGCGGACTGGCGCGGCTGCCGTCGGCTGGCTGCGCCGAGGGCGCGGCCGTCTGAGCAGGGGCGCGGGCGGCTGACCTCTGCGGCGGCGCCTGCGCCGAGGGCGCGGCGCACTTCGAAGGGGCAGCGGCTGCGGGCGTGGCAGCCCCTTTGGCGGCAGGCCTCTCGGCTGTCTGGGCGGGGCGCCCGGACGTAGCCCTCCCGGTCGTCTGGGTTGGTCGCAGCCTTGGGCGCGGGCTTGGCGGCGCGGGCCGTGCCCCGCAGGCCCGACAGCGCCGCGGCCACGAGATCCGTCTCTTCGGCGTCCTCGTCGCTCGCGGGAGAGTCGGACTGGCGCCCCTCCGACGGCGCGCTCTCTGCTGCACCGATCTCCGCGCACTGCGTGGCGCGCCGCAGGGCTGCAATTGGGGCCACGGCGGCCTCGGCAGCAGCCGCAACCTCAGCCGCGTCCGCGTCGTCGTCTGACTCGGCCACAGTCGCCAGCACCGTCCTGTCCTCCACCTTGCGATCGTCGTAGTCCGCGATGTCGTACAAGAACTTCTTCGCGCCGTCCTTCATGACATATACAACCTGCCAGTAGGAGAGCAGAAAGGGAGGGCATTTCAACGATGAAGGAAGCGAGTGGGAAGACGACTTGGCAACGCGCCTCCTGCCAGGCGCCGTCGATGAGCTCCTCGCCGCGACAATTCGGGTCCGTGGGCAGCGGCGTCTCAGGGAAAGCCTCGCGCCACTTGCTCACGGGGCAGGCTTGATGCCAGTTCGCAGACAGGCGACGCCCGGAGACCTTGACGGAAGATACCTGGCGAGCCTGCTGGATGTCTCCCGCGGCCTGCCTGGACATGCGGCGGCGCTTCTCTGGGTCCTTCCCCGCCTGGCTCTGGACGTACGCATCCACCTTGAGCCGCGCGGTCTGCGCCCGGCCCGCATCCTGGCGCACCCACTTGATGTACTCCTTCAGCGGCTTCTTCTCGCCGCCAGGCAAGTGGGGGTCCAAGGGCACCGCCTGCGAGAGAGAGAAAGAGAGAGAGAGAGAGAGAGAGAGAGAGAGAGAGAGAGAGAGAGAGAGAGAGAGAGAGAGAGAGAGAGAGAGAGAGAGAGAGAGAGAGAGAGAGAGAGAGAGAGGGGGCTGGACCAAGTCGGAATCGCGTCGGACATGGGTCGGGGCCGCGTGGGACTCGAGTCGCGTCGGGCCCCGTGCAGGATAGGCCGGGCGGGGCACCCCTGCGGATCGAGCGGGGGTGGAATGTCCAACGGCAATGCTCGAAGTCGCCTCGCCGCGACCAGAAAAAAATGCATTCCTCTGCCGGTTGCCCTTTTTCTCTTGCGTGGAATTGCAATGCGCTGAATTTAAAATTGTATCTTTTTGTGAATTCATTGAAAAAAAATCATTTTCCCCCCAAAAAAAGTTATGTTCACCAAAACCACTTTTATGTTCGCCAGGGCGATTTTATGTTCACCAGGGCGGTTTTATGTTCACCGGCCGGAAATTCAAAAAACAATTGTGTTCACCAAAACCACTTTTATGTTCACCAGGGCGATTTTATGTTCACCAGGGCGGTTTTATGTTCACCGGCCGGAAATTCAAAAAAACAATGGGAAATATAAAAAAATCAGAAATAGAAATTTGCAGCCCGCGCGGGCAGAGAAACATTGAAAGCGGCGGGCTCGATTTCAGCGAAATGTCCCTTGCCCGCCTGCCTTCTTGCGCAACAGGGCCTTGCAAACCAGGCACAAATAGCCCGTGGCCTGGCGGATCATGCTGCCATGGTCGGTGCGGTACTTCCACGGCCAGTATCCGCCGAACTCGTCCTCGTTACTCGCCTGGGGATACGGGCTCGGGTCCGTGCTCTCGTGGGCGCAGAGACCGCACGTGAAGCTGGAACCATCCTTCTTGTTGAAAGGTTTCACCAGATAGCCAGCCCACTGGCCAACCACCACGAGGGCGACCTGAGAGGAAACGGGAGCCAAGAGGGAGGAAAGGAGGCGAGGCGAAAGAAAGGAAGGACATAAGGAAGTGCATAATGACGGGGGCCCCTCGACCTCGAGGCCGCGCAGCATGCGGCCCCGCCGCAACCCCGAGGCCAGGGACGGCGCTTTCTCCGTCTCCCCGTCGGCGTCGGAAGGCGATGCCTTCACCGTCTCCGCGCGGGACATCGCGGGGAGCGAGGGGGCGGGCGCGGCGGCGGGCAGCGAGGCGCTGGCGCGGACGGCAGCTTAGCCGCAGCTCGGGAACAATGCTGCGCCGAGAGACGCGGCGAAACAGCGATTGGAGCAACGATCAGGCGACAGCTGCGCGATTGCAGCGGGCGGCCGCGGCGGCGACAACGGCTCTGAGAAATGCACTTTTACACGCCTACGCTTCGTATCTGTCCTGGCGGGAAGATCACCCGCCACTGGCCCGCCTCTCCTCCGAGCCCCTCCAAGGCTGGCTCTCGGGCATGCCCTCGAGGACCGCGCGAGCAGCGGCGATCTGCGCTGGCGTGGGCACCTTTTGTTTATGGTCTGCCTTGCTCCCGCATCCAGGGGCCTCCCCCAACCACCACCACAAAGCGGCCAATGGTCTGACCCTCGATTGCTGGTTCCATGAACAGCCTGGATGGAGGCCGCAGACGGCGCGCATGTCGTAGACGGCGAGGGCCTCGTTCTCGACAAGGCGAATGTAGTGAGGACGGCCAGCCCCAGCGGGATGTGGGAGCTGCGGGCGTCGGGCGACGCGCGGGCGCCTCGGCGCGCCCGCGGGGGGCGGCGGCGGCGCCGCCGCCGCAGCGTGGCCGCCCAGCGGCCCGTGCGCCAGAGCGGCGTCCGGCGCTGCTGCGGGAGGCGCCTCCGCTGGCGCGCCTTCTGCTGCACCCTGCGCCCCGCGACCTCTCTGCCGCCAGGCGGCGGCGGCCCCCCAAGCGGCCTTCCAATCCTTCGCGTAGTCAGGCTCCTCATCCCCGCCACGCGCGCCGCTGCCCCCCCCGTCGGCGGAAGCCCCGCCAGGGCGGGAGTCGGCGAACGCCTGGAACCAGCCCGTCGCCAGGTCAACGTCCTTCTCGTGGAGGCGTGCCTCGTGCAAGTCCCGCTCCTCCGCCCAATCGACCGAATACTGCAGCTCTGAGCAACCCATGCGCGGGCGCGCAAGAAGTTCGACCCAGCGCAGCTCAGCCCGGTCGCGCCCGCACGCGCGTAAGATGTGGAGGGCGACGTCGATCTCAGTCATCATCTTCAACACTCTGCGGCCCTTCCTCTCCACCCAACACCGGCGCAGAGAGAATGGCACCTCGGGGGGCGCCGCGCCGAGCCCGCATGGCTGCCCCACCACGTCGCACTCGAAGAACTCCCCCGTGAAAATTGGACTTTTCAAGTGCGAGAAGTTGCGAATCATCACACAGCCTCCAGGCCCTGAAACCTGGAGGGTCATCATCTTCCCGACAGTCTTGCACCTCGCAGGGGCCACCAACAACCGCAAATCTTCCACTACGCCTTGGTACTCCCCCCGCAAGTCGGCGACGCCGCCAAGGCATTCTGCCGCGCGCGTGCAGCAAGGCCGCTCAGTTGGGAGGCCGCAGCGAATGAGTCCTGGAGGCGCCACAGCAGCATTGTACATTTCGTCAAACGAAACGACCGTGGCTTCCACGAAGGATCCCCTCTTCAGCTTCGCATCGACATGTGCTTGCACGGCTGCGGAGACAAGGTCCTCGGACAAGGGGAACTCGTCTGAGCCGAGACCCCGAGGCCAAGCAGCTTCGTCCGACTG